AGTGGAACTTTAGAGTTTCAGAAGACTAGGTTAATGTCCAAAAAAGTCTAAACTTTGACCTTCTTGACATATGCCAAAAGAAACAGCCACCCTAATAAATTACTACCTGTGTGCAATTATAATAAACCATTCCTAGCATCCAATCACTTGAATTAATTGCTGTAAGGCAGTGGGGCTTTCATATAAATAATCCAAAAAATCGTTTGCAGCTCAGATGAGGATGTACGGGTGTACTTCTTTCAGTATGGCAGATACAAGTTTAAGGCACATTATTCATACATTTGGACTAAATATCTGTGTACAGCAACACTTACTAACACTAGAATTAGGAGCTTTGGATCAGTTACCAGAAGCAACGAAAACAGAGCCAGCACAGGCCGAATGTGTGTATATATATATACATATATATATATATATCTCCAAGTCAGACGTGGATGAACTGGCTGGAGGGAAGAGCCAGGACAGAACAGACTGGTGGTCCCCACCTGACTCCGAGCCCTGGGGTGAGGGCTGGTAACCCCTGCAAACGAAAGCAGGAGCCACCAGCGGAACCCAGCAGCTCCCCGGCTCGTCACACGGAGAACAGGACCGGGATGTTCCAGGGAAACTTGCCTTGTCCTTGCAGGTTCTCTTTGGAGGACAAAAGTGTTTGGGGCTGCCAAGCTGGCCCACTTTTCAAGAACAATACATGCTTAATATTAAATCAAATGCTAAGTGTTTAAGTTCAATTATCTAATTCTGCTGGTGTCTGAATCTGTGCATAAGTAATGGCGATTCAGTTGGGAAATCAACACTCCTCACACAGGCAGGATTTTATTCCCTATCCTCATGCAGATTTTAAATACCTTTCTGAAGAACTAAAGAAGAATCTCAAAGGACTACTCTTTCACTCAAATTCAAGTTAAGCTGCTCAAAAGCCTATGCTGTGGTGGTCAGCATTACCAATTTTCTTATGTTTGAACAGGAGTTAATTGGAAAATTATTGTCTTGTTCCTCCAAAATGGGCAAACTTCAAAATATTTATATTCTGCGAGGCAAACTTAAAGATATTGAAATAACTAAGACATAAGTAGAGTTTGCAGCACAGTGATTAGAAGGCTCACCTGCAATGCAGCTGGCAGCTTCAAAAGTCTTATCTGCTTGAGCTGTGTTTGATCAGCTTTGTATAACAAAGCAGACCCAGTCCATATATAAAAATATAATTTGGAGTGAGTCCAGGTGCATTCTGTTTCATTCTCCTAAGATACGTGAAGCCCTCGTGTGTTGAGATGTACAGCTTGCTTGTAAATCCACATTTTCTTCAGTACGAACTGGAGATACTCTTTCCAAGCACTAACTAAAAGAATCTCAAAGCTTCTCGTTCTGCAGGAAAGGAATCATGACTCTAACCCTTACCGTAGGTAGTGGCCAGTTGTCCAGCTTTCATTTGCCATTTTAAGAAATGGTCATGTCTTGCTTTCTTCTACTACCTTGCTTAATCTTTGCTGATGAAAAGCGGCAGCAAGAACAACCGTTAAGGCCTTTTAGCATGAGTAACCAAGGCAGAAGGCATTCAAATACCTTCTGATTTCCAACTGTTCCAGTACTGGATGTGCAATATTTTCCAGACAACACAAACACTGAGCACCAAGTTGATGGTTTTTGTAAACTGTCAGGTCCAGTTCATGCTGCTGCCCAATTCAATAAAAGTAGATTATAAGTGAAGCTCAATCTTTATGTACGCTGAAAATAAATTGTTAACGACTAAAGACAGTCTACATAAGGTAAACATTGTATTTTGTTAGAAATACATATTACCATATATAATCTCATCTATGCCAGTAAATAAAATAGCTTAGTTAAGCACATCTCAAAACCTGTTATAAGTAACCCGGGAATGTTTCATATTCAGCAAAAGGTTACTGAAAATGCACACACACAGGTGCTTTGGCTTCTGCCTAGTACCACAGGAGGGACAATTTGGCAGCAAGAAGAAAAATCTCAGATTTTCCTCCTTCCACTAACCAAAATAACTATATAAATGTTTTACATATATTAATAGAGTTCAAATTCATATTTTTACACTAACTTTATAGCAGTTATTCAGTTAGTTTTGAGATACGTTGAATATTTCAGTAAGCTTAAGGAAAGGAAAAAATGTCCCTAAATTAAAGGAGCTTTTACAATTTTATTTGCTTTTCTTTTTTCTACATTAAGCTCAATTTATATATATATATATGTATATATATCAATCAATAAAATCTTCTACATTGTTTCCAAATATGCTATCTTTATTAAGAAATATGTGCATACCAGAGAAATACTAAGGAAGCTGTGAGTCACCAATTTAGTTAGTGCAGCAAGCAGTGTACCCAAAGAACAAAGCACATGAGAAACTATTAAATGCCGTTTCTATATTTCCATATTATAGAAGATAGCTACATGAAAGTCATGCGATCATACCCAACTTACACATTCAGAAAGGAGCCGTTAAAAATCTTCCAGAAAAATAATGTGATCAGATGCTGCTATGTCAAATATATTTGGTACAGCAACGTTTTGTCTAAACGCTGCTATTTGGCACAGAGCACATGAAGTCACATGGACCAAATTTGAGCTCCTAAAAGCAGGGAAGGGCAGTGGATGAGGGGAGCATCTTTGGAGGGCCAGGCAATCACTGGCTTTCCAGTGCTTAGGGAATGAGAGCTGTTTCATAATTTCTTTCACTTCCCTTTCTGTAAAACCAGGGTGATAGAACTGGAAGCAGCAGATATAAAATACTGGTTCTAAACATATAAACTGGAGAGGAACAGTTCGTGTAACCCAGGTCTCCCAGCATACCATTGAAATGTGCAAGATTTATCACTCTGTGGTCATTCGTCCCTAAAGGCAAGTCAGCTCCAAGAATGTAGTACAAGGATGTACTGTTGAGCTGCGTAGATTTTCTGTACATATGGTCTTTTTAACACTGTCCAAAGGAAGAATACTTATTTTAGCAAAGATCCTAAAACATAATTCAAATTCTCTTACCTCCAGCCAAAAGGCTCTCATCTTGCGTGTGTACTCATGACAGCACCCAAGCCAAGGGTTGCATTTATGTTCTTCACAACCATTTTTTGCAGGATGCCGAGGTTGTTGCCCAAGTTAGTATATTTAACTTCATCAAAAGGGTTATAACGACACAGTTTGCAGTGTAAAGCCAAAAAAGCTATAGGTTGTTAGGGAAATGATTCATCAGTACCTAGCTTCATGCAAAAATCGGAAGTTTTTTGTTTTTCTTCATTTTGTTTTTGGAGAACAGTCCGAGAAATCCAAGTGGTGTCTTTCTTACATGAATACTTCATACAGCTCACTAAACAGAAGCAAGATTTGGCATTTAGCCTGGGATTAGTGTGAACAGCCTCTTAACCAAACATTAGGAAGAAAGTTAACTTTAAAATGCTTTGAAAGGTCTGTTTTCATGACAGATGGTAATAAGGGCTCGTCAGTGCCAATTTTTTTTTTTTCATTTCCACCTCAGCTTTCAAAAGCTTAAATTTTAGGTTAGTGTTTCTGAGAAACCATTACATAGAGGAAAAATGCAAATTACAAAATTAGATTACTCACTATTTTTATTGTGTGCAACATTTTTCTAAGCAACACTAACATATGAAGACTAAGAATTTGACCGTGCCTAATGGATCACATTCCCTGTCTGCTTACTGGGATGCTACATTTTTCCCCTCTTCCCAGCTACACTTCTTTTAATCTTTATCTGTATACCTGGACAGTTCATCTCCCCACATACCTGAAAATATACAACAGTCATTAGCAGGCAGGGATTTTGTTTGCAGAATACACTCACTAGGGAAGACATTGTAGAACTATATTTTATTCAAGAAAACCCACATATTCAGTCCTGCGGTGACCACAGGCTTTGCTAAGCCATAGATATCAGCAAATACTGGAACAGAATACAGTGAATCAGATTGAATCAAAGCATTTAAATTCTGGCTTACAGTTAAAATTTTCAGGGAAGGCTAGTTTCAAAACTTCATTATAGTATATACTACAATGTTGTGCAGAAACAGAAGAATATTGGTCCTAATAAAAACTGAAAAGTAATGACTTCTGTATGACAATTAAGCTGTCAAGACAATAATTCATACATTCTACCAAAGGCAGCATATAGTTACAAAAATACTGGTCCAGCATCTTGTTAAGTGGTGAAGCAATATCCAAGGTGCAATGGCAACACACCATTCTCAGTGAAATATTTTAAAAAACTATTTTTTTTCTATTTTCCCCACACTGATACTAACTGTACACCAAAACTTCTATGACAATCTGAAAGTCGCTACTTGTCATGTGTACTGCACCAAAGATTTATGCAAGAACACATCTCCCAAGTTGCAGCATTAAAGAAGCAATAAGACTGAATATGCCAAAAGGCCTTTTACTGCAACTGATCGTGGATAAACAGGTTGCAACAGTTATTGAACTTTAACTAATTGTCCAAGCTTGTCCAAGCTCTCCATTATCTCAAACTTTAGGATAGAAAGGTAAAAGACAGAGTCTGCAATTTTTAGAAGAGAATTAAATCACTTCATATCCCTCTCAATTCACACCCAAAATAAAGATATTCCACTCTCCTCCCAATACCAAGGTAATTTGAAAGTCAAGCTTTGGAATTACGCTTGTTCTGTTATTGCACTGTTCTAGGATTGTACTGTTTTCATTTAGAAGTTAAAACATACAGTAGGAGGGTGATCAAAACTACCAGAAAGAGTAGACCTGTTTAACTTGTGCAGCTCTCCAGAGAGACATGCATCAGACTGCGACACAATCTAAAGGGCAAAGCACACTGCACACTTGGCTTCAGTCTTTGACCAAAAATACATTAGCCTAGCTGCCATTTCCTTCAAGAAAACAGTACCATTTAGTATCTAAACTGAAAGATGAAGCTGAGTAAGATTAGGTAACTGCTGTCACATTCAATGTTACATCCAACAAAACAAAAATGAAGGAGTAGCAGACAGGAATATTAATCACATTTTCCTTTTAATAATGGTTTAGTTGAAAAGTATAGCTTTGAAAAACCCTAGCTAATTGTGAAAGCTGGACGAAGCTGGGAAGCAACCTCACTTTGAACAGTACACTTTAAAGCTGTGGCTTGGCCTATCTGCTTTCAAACTCTACTGCCAACCTTGTAGAAAAATAAAGGTACCGCCTGGAAATAAGAAAGTCAGCCTTTAAAAGTTGGTGAATGGTGTATCTTAGCAGCCTAACTGACTGAAGAGGAAAGATGGGATATTTTCATACAATAAACAAAAAGTAAATTGAAACCCTCAGAATTTACTTTGTGTGTATATAATTTGGATTCTCATCAACATTTAATCTATAGAACATAAGGTTGCCACCTTACCTTTTATGGACTGGCATACCTGATTTTAAACAGGTTTTCCTCCATTCTCCCAAGTTTCTGATCCTCTTATCCAGTTTTCTGCTGTACTATTCTCCCACCTTAATGCTTAATACCGAGTCAGTCCTGCCTTCTGCTTTTCTTGGCAGGAGACAGAGCAAGCTCTTAATTTCGGTAGTCAGAGTAACAGAACAACAAAAGGACAGCAGATAGAAGAGCTTAATTCTTCCCCAGGAAGAAAATACATTTGGTTCAACAAAGGGCTGCAAAATCTTCCAAAGGCACCTCTTTCCCAAGTTTTTGCCTGAAAGCAAGATGGCAATCTTAATTGAAAAGGGATGCTAAATCTTTTAAATAACTTAAAAATTCATTTTTATATAAAGCAGCAAAAACATTTTCCTCTGCAGAAAGAGAAATGTTAACAAAGAAACACACCAACGTAAATGCACTGTTCATAAACTTCAGCTACTTTAATTTCACGAGAAAGTCAAAACTTTAGGACTATTCTTTAACCTCATCAGTACTGTCTGAGGAAGATTCTTTGGCATCTTCAGTCTCTCTGCTGTTTTCTTCTTGATTTAGATTTTCACTTTCTGATTTGGTCCCATTAAATAGAGAGTTTTCACCATTTACAAACCCATTCTCCGTGACTTCTGCATCCATAGCTTCATCAATCTTTAAGTCCCCTTGCTCTTCCGCATCTTCTAGGTTTCTCAAGACAATAGGCAGTCTAGAATCTGGCACAGTGTTCTCCAACAAGGCAATATTACTCTCTTCATATTTAGGAATGGGAGCTCCATCTGCCCTCTGCTTGGCATAGTATTCCCGGCTGGCAGCTGCACTCTTCACTGCTTTCTCCAAGATCTCCTTCTCACCTAAGCGCAACTTGATGGCCATTATTGCATGAGGAGTAAGGTCGTGGGTCTCCAAGAAGGACTTATCATCCTGGTAGGAAACAAAGAGCAAGTTTCATTACAAACAACCAGCAGAATAGAGATTTTTTTTGCTTTAACACTAAGGGACACTACTTCCCCCGGACAGACATATTTGAAGGGACTGTATTTGAGGAGTCCCAGTGAAATTTATCCAAAATTAATCCAAAAGAAGCCAAAAATTTCTCAGTATGTATCATTCTGCATTACAGACAAATCAGGTGATTTAACAAATAGAGTAAACTCACAGGTTGACTTACAACATGCTCACAATTTGGAAAGTACAACTAAGCAGGAAACAAGTTGAAACTGATGCCACATTTTACTTGCATAGAAGAAACAAGTAGCCTATGCTTGCAGAATCAAAGAAAAAATACATTAACAAAATTACATTAGCAGAATTGTTTTTTTGCAATCTTATTTGATTGTCCTTAGATAATGCAAATAGGTTTCCAGACTTTAGAAAGTGCAAAATGAATTATGTACTATCTTTAAGATGAAAGCTTGTAAAGAGAAGATGGGGGACAAAGTATCTTCTCCGACAGTCATAATGCAACACATTTTAGAAGTTCAAATTTCATATAACAACAAATTTACCTCTATAGTTGTTTTGTAGGTTTTCAAAAGAAGAGATGCCCTGGCTTCTAGGAACGTCCAAAGTTTAACTTCATTGTCCCAGCTAATGGGAAACTCGGAGTTCCCCAAAGTGAAGATTTTGTCAATGGCATGCTCGCCTATCAAGTGTTCCTTCAGCTCTTCTGCAAGAGGTATAAAAATGATCTGTTAAAAAAAATCTCATCACTCACTCTGCCAGTTGACACATTGAAGACAGCTTTATTTCAATAACATGGTTTAAAATTGCTTAGGAAAAAAAAGCTCTCCTCAAAAATAAAAATCAAAGGAGTTGGCTATTTCTGGCATTCTGCTCAAAAGCTGTATCTGGAAGTTGTGAGGTTGGCAGAAAGTGGACTTGTAGCTCCATTCCAACACAAGGTCCCACACATTTCCACCTCTCCTACTTCTTTAAAGAGTTCAATAAATTAAACAGGGTAAAGTGTGCAAATACTAATGGAGTTATTTTCCTATTATTCTGGCAAATTTTCTCATTAGCAGAAACTAGCAAGTCGGTCAAAAAAAGACATCCAAGAAAGCCTCATACAAAGCAGAAAATGTTTTAATTGGCCCCTTGACACCACACAAATTTCATTAATCTTTTCATTACCATACTCCTCTCCTGCAAAGCAGCTATAACAAACTTAAAGTAAAATATATTATAAACAACAGAATTCTGACTGAAGTCTACAATTTAAACCGTTATGTGTTTAAATTTTACTTGTTCATGAAGGATTACTGGGGCAACAGTCTTCCCATTAGTGAAATGGCAAAATACTTGGAGTTTCTCAATAAACTGTTTATTGTTTTCTTATGGGTGCATTTAAGACGTACGAATCTACAGAACAAAACAAAAACCTAAAACATCATCATCAACAACAACAAAACACATTTCAGGGAAATTTTCACTAGCTACATGTTCTTCTCAAAGGCAAAATTACCTCCTTCATAAGCATCCTAAAAATTTCTTTATTGGAATTCTTAACAGAGTCTAAAAAAAGATGGACAAGAGTAAAGCCTAACACCATATAAGGTAGGTTGTTTTAATTAAATAAAACAAACGGAGCACATGCAAAAACTTGACAACCCAGTATAATTTTCCTACTGGTACACACATCATTTGCACAGCATCCCTCGCTGAAAGGAATTTCTCTTGTCACAAAAATCTATTTTATCTCTAACTTCCAAAGCAGAACCTAATCAGCAAGCAGTTATAATAAACATTTAATCAAAACTCTGATATGCACAAATTAGCTGAATATTTAATAGTTTTACATTTTTCCTCGTCCAACCACTAACATACAAAAAGCACTACAAGGACCATTTGTAAATACACAAATTGACTTTCGATCATGAATTACCAAAATAAGACAAACTTTGAAGTGTCTCTTTCATATTTCCACTACAAGATAGAATATTCCAATTCCACACCTAAATAATTCCAGTGGTAACGGCTAATATGTCATTTCAAGTGTGTAATAAACCCCTAGGTCTCATACGATCTTGACTTGTGAGCCATTTTTAAACCAAGAAACTAAAGATCAACCTCTAGAGCTCATTCATTTAAAACTAACAGAGAGATTTTAAAAAAAAAAAAGTGTTCAAAAAAGGCTCCGTTGCTGAAATATTCCCTCAAACCACATAGCCACAGCTAGTTCTCACTAGCAAGGTACCTTACAGATATCACTTAACTCTCTCACCCAAAAGTACTTCTTCTCTGATCCTCTACTTGAACATTTCATGCATCTCATTTTCCTGCTTAAAAAAATAAAACCCCCCAAAATAAAATAAATTATTTTTATAAAATGTCTTACCTTCGCTCATACAAAATACTCTAAGGAAAGCCAGAAGCTGAGCAGAAATTGGAGGCTCGGTGGAATGCAAGGCAAAAACACTAGAACTAATAAATAAATAAATAAAACAATCAAACAACAACAGTAAATACAAGTTCTACTGTGGTAGTTCTGAATTCATTTTAATATAACTCTCCCTGAAGCATACCAAAAATGCAGTGTTACAAAAGTTACTCTTAGAATAAATTTGTGTGACCTATTTTTAACTGAAGAAAAATTCTACCTCAGAAAAGAACTTTTTTCTCCCCAATATTAAACTTACAATGATTTTTATATGGCTTTCATAATAAATTCATGAAAATACTATGTTTCACATTTGCTGCTCCTAACTGTACCCTCTGGACTGAAAAAACTAAAGGAAAATGCTGTGGTTCACATACTGAGCATAGTAGTATATCTGCAAGTGATAGAAAAGAAAGGAAACCCATGGATGACTTCAAACTAATCTTTGCTCTGTTTTTGTTCAAAGGGTTATTAAAGCAAAGATTCCCCCACCCCCATATATGGTCTAAATTAGATGACAATATAGCTCCCAGAATTTTTGTAAATATTGTTACAGGGACTTCAACTTGCTATGCAAACAGGAGAGATATATAAAGCTGTTCTATGATAGTTTTCTCAGGTTTAATATGTGGACACTACTGGACACTATATGCTTGGAAGTGTTTAAAAAAAGCCCAGTTCATTGTGTTTTACTTACGTTGGGATACCAGCACGAGCTAAGACCTCTGCCTTCATAGCATACAGCCTGTCACTTTTACTCACGCCAAGCTTTATTTTCACTCTGTCATGTGAATTATTATCAAAGAAAAAACCACTGTGGATCACAAATTCAGCGTTTGACCGAGTGCCATAAAAAATGTAAATCTAGAAGGATGAAAAGAGAAGTGAAGGGACAGAAAAAAAAGCTTAAGATCAACTCATAAATCTGACATAATTTGAAAGTTATTTCCTCAAAGAGTTACTATTCTGCAGCAAAGTACAAGGTATATTTGATCATATAAAGAAACATACATTCTTTTCTGATATTGATTCAAATGCTATAGAATAGGGCAATAAACTTTAGGGGTATGGAAATACACCCATATAACTGAGATGGCCTTCGAAAGCAGAAAAATGGTTCTTATTCTACACTTTACAAAAATGCTTTCCTTTCTCACACTCTTATAAAACACCAGTACTTGAAAATAAGCTCTTGAAGATCCTGGGCCTTCAAAGATCAACAAAAAAGTCTGAGATAAGGAAGGCCCATAACAGCTATTAATGTTTCTGGGGTAATTTTTTCCACAGAGGTCTACTCAAAGGAATAAATGGATTCACTTTGTTTTGGTTATATATAAAGGTAACCTATAGGCATGAACATAACAAAATACATCACACAGATCTCACCTGTGTTCAACCATTATTGATTTTTATTGCATTTTTTGAATAGTTTATCTAAGGCAAATGAATTACTTTATATTTGGGAATGTATTATATTTTAATATGAATTAACCTGCAACAAGTGCTGAAGTGAACATGAATAAAAGGCAGATACTGCAGGCAGCAGCAGAACAAGCAGTCAGGTGCTTTTGTACCTCATTGCTTTTAATGTCAAAAAAGCCCAATTTTTAATTGAGGTTTTTCCATTGCTACCTCTCACAAGTGGTAGTGGGAAAGCACCCAATGAGGAGGATACCCAGCCACCAATTTTCATTTAAAAAAATTGTAGGTAGTTGATAATTTTTTTTGATAGCTACTCCAATTATAAGTTTGGTTGAAGAAATAATTTAGGAGACACAAAACGCACATCAGCAGTGCTAGGGTGCTCACTCAGTTTTTCCACTCAGGGTTAGGCTGCATGAAGTACATGGGATATCGGGTCATATTGGTAGCTGTCTTGTCTGCTATGAAGAGGATATTTTCTCTTTTGTTTGATAATGGAATTATCCATCCCAAAACAAAACTAAGTTTTAACATTTACAGAACTACAGAACTCCCACTGATGCTCTTAGTGACTACATTTCCCCATTCTTGTCTAAGTGACAGCACAGTATTTACCTAAAAGCTAAACAACATTAATGATGCATTTAATTTCTTATTTCCAAATTTTAGATTAGAAATATATGCTCTAAGTAGCAAATGCTTAAATGTTAACTTAAAATCTAGTTAATGTTAACTTGTAGCACACTAACATGGCAAGTGAGTGACCTGCCTATATGTGGCCTTTCTCTTCCTCTGAAAAGGCCCTTCAGAATGCTTAGGAAAACTACAGTAAATAAAATGTCAATGCAGTTCTCTATTTGATGACAGTAAATATTACATAATCAGAAGAATACACAGCTCAGTTAATTCAGGAGTCTTTTTCTAAGCAGGTTTTAAGCTACAGTGATATATCTCACTATACAGTGTTATTGTACCACAAATCCCTTACACTGTGAGGCTGTATACAAAAAAGCAAGTTAAACAGAGAAGTTGCTTAGTGCAAGGTGTTTCACAGACTGTGCGGATGTCTGCAGCCTCAGACTCCTTAGCAGTAAAAGATCATATATGCTTTCTACTGAAATTGTAAGGAATAACATGTCATAGCATAGTGAAAGATGAAGACACATTACAATTAAAATGTTTTAATGATGTCAATAATTCAGTTACAAATTTGTAAAGAGATCAAAAAAAATCTGATCCATAGCAGATGAAGCAAACCAATAAAATAAATGAAATACAGGAAGCTTCTGCAGCCAGAAAAGCTACACAATATATCTACTGCTAGCTGTGGAAAATTATAAATTAGATCACTTGTGGAAAAATTGTGGTCCCCTTTTAACTCATCACACTGGCATTGGAAAAACAGCAAATATTTGACTACCATAACAAATTATAGGAACAATACACAAAAAATACTATCACTATGAACCACAGCGTGGCAATGAGGATAATATACCTCTGGAAAGCTATGCTTCAGAAAAAAATCACTTCTCTGTTCAAAAAGAAGGTAGCAAAACATAAAACAAAAATCAAAATATTATAAAATGTGATTCTGGCAAAATAATACATAAAAGGGAATAAGTCAGAGACTAAGTGATAAAACACCTGAGGATGTTTTATAAACAGAATCTCTTTTTGGCCATGCTGACTATTATCACGACAAAGCAATACAAAAAATGAAGTGCCACTGCAATGAGGGTCTAAGCTGGATGTGACACACAGCACTGGAACACCCCTATCAGGGAACGAGTCTCTTCAGTCCAACACTGGACAGACTGACGTTCATTACAGCTTCTAAGCCATTGCAAACCGAGCACCAGAATCTGAACTGTTCCGTGCATCTGTAGACCTTACACTGCACAACATACCTACCTTTGCTACTGCCTATTTGAGTATGAAGGGGTGTGTTTGTGTGTGAGAGTGTGCATGTGTGTGTACACAGAAAAAAGAAAGGAAATGGGTTCTTAGGCACTTTCTCATTTTCACATGCACAAGAGTGCAACATAGGTAAAAAGAAAGAAAGATTCTATAACCTGCTTTGCAGACCAACTACGTTCTCAAATCTAAAATATACTCATCTTTTTTCTTGGAACATGGGACTTTTATTAATCTTATCTAGAATACCAAATTCAATTCCTGCCACATGTGCATTTATTAGTGATTAAATATTTCATCTAGTTGTCTAGAACAGAAGGAATACACATGGAATCAAACTATCCTAATATTGAGATTTGGCAAGTGATGAAAAATATTTTATTCTGAAAAATCCTGCATTTATTTAGTTTAGTAGCATTTTTGTCAAGAATTAAACAATTACAATAAACTTTGACTGCAACAGGGCTTTACCCATTCCTCTATGCTATTACACTTTTTGTGCAAATTTTAGTTGCAGATTAGCAAAAATGTAAAGAGCTATCAAAATGTTTGACATTAGCTATCTAGTGGACAAATACTCACATACTGAGGCATACTCACTATCTTTTTGTCAAGGTAGCCTATCACTTGCTAACATACTCTGCATAAAACCTCATGAAAGAACAATTATGTAGATATACCTGTTCTCCAGGCTTGAAGTCTTGAAGTGCTACACATTCACACCGGTCATCTTCTAAGTTGTAGCCTGTAGTGATCTGTCCAAAATAAAAAACAACAAAAGCACATTCAGCATTTTATATTTACCTGAGGTAACTGAAAGGTTCTGAGGAAAGCACCCTCCAAAGACTATGGCCAGTCCTATGTTTAACCCAGAAGCTTCTTAAACAAAAATTCTTTAGTTTTAGGTGGGAGCAATGCACCATGAGTTCTATATTCTGTTTCATTCTTGAACTATTGGCCCATTTTTGACCTCTCCCAATGAAAAAGGATTAGAAAACTATGGATCTTCAGGGAATACCATCTTCAGGGAATTATAATTCATTTGTAAAAAATAACTTTATCTAAAATTAAGTGATACTCTTAAATTTCTAAAATAATTTTCTATCCAATTGGAATAGGCAATAGAAGAGGACAAAGATTTCTTTACAAGTCTGTACATACTTCTCTTAAAAAAAGAAAAACCCAAACAACAAAACACAAATCTCTAAGTTCACATTAACAAGTAAAGCTAATCTCAAATGTAATACTTTTAAAAAGTGACATAGAGCATGCCCTTGACAGTATTAATCAAACTTATAGATACAGATGCAGCTGCAAGATGAGACAAGGCCCTGATGAGAAAGCCAAAGATTATCTCTTAACCCTGGTAAATGAAAGTGTGTTTGTTCGTAAGCCGATTCACACGTGAACTTGGGTAGACATTCTGCCTGGCTGTCGGTTATCCAAAGGGAGAACTCCGTAGGTTACTTTGAGAGCTTGCTTGATGGTTTACATATTAATAGTTCTACTCTGCTTGCATAATGAAATGTGCAGCTGGAAGCCAAAATAGGGCTTTCAAAGTGACCACAGGGAACTTGCCTGAGACGAGGCAGACCCAAAATGGCAGCCACGCGCCAGGACAGCCAGGCCCCATGGGACACTTGCATAACTGCACTGCTGTGGATGTCGCCACTTAAGATCTCTTAAAAGGATTTGTGGTGTGTTGAGATCAAGAGAGAACATTACAGTCATGTAGCGTGGCCTGCAGAACACTGACAGTAGCGTTTCGTCAACGCATAAAGCCCTCTACAGCCCTTATCCTGGGCTGAATAACCTTTAATTAAAACTCACCACGAAGCAGGCTATCTAAGAATTTGAAAGGTTGGAGGCATATTGGTAACACCTTGGTATGTATTAAGGATTAGGTTGAAGCATGCTTTACTAGGCCACTATTTTGGGGGCGTGGGGGGAGCCGGAGGACTTAGAGGGGGTGAGATGGGGCTTTAAAAATAAACAAACAAAAGCAGCACTTTTAATGGGCTATAAAGCATAATGGAGAGCTATCCTCCTGTTTCTTTTAATAGTAGCCAGGTAAGAGAATTAACAGGGAGTTACTTCTTTTCCCACGTGATAGCTTGACAAATTGCAGCCCTTCAGTTTTCTTTCGGAAGGAGTCAAGATTTCCAAGTTGAGTATAAAGCATGCGATAGTCTACTGGGTCAGGGATTATGGACAGATCCAGCCCAATAGGTAGAATGTAGTTTATTCAAAGCTCTGGTGGAACTGGTAATCAACCTCTGACTGTCAAAATACAATCCCACTAAAGAGTAACAATGAGAAATGCATGAAGACAACCATTTTGATATAGTTCTTAGAGTCAGGTTGATCTAATTAATAGCATCAGAAGCAAGAAAAAGCTGAATGGACCTGGCTTCAGTTAAAACCCAAAGAGCATTTTATTATGTAGCTGGTGGAAAAGGGCCCTGTGGAACAGGGCAGGAACCGGGGTATGTAACAGCTGACTGACCCAAGCAGCGTTTCAATCGGATCTCTGGAACAGTCTAGCCAGTGGCATACGCAACACCATCCTTCAGTTCTTACGTTCATGCAATGAAGAACTACTTAGCTGTTGCATTTTAAAGGTACATGCTATAATTAGGGCAGAACCCACTCCACAATAATACAGATTACAACACAGACAATTACTTTAGTAGCTTTTTCCTGTTTCTACCAATACAAGTAAACTATCAAGGAACAAAAATGATTTAATAGCTTTTCTTGGTCCATTATCAATGTTATTTTCCTCATGAATCTATAATTTTTAACTAGTTTCTGTAGAAATATGAATCAAATGAATAAAGCCTATATACACATGCGAATTATTTAGGAGGCCTTTCCTCCTCTTTGTTTAGGATACACTTAAGCAAGAAAAAAAATGCTTACAAACCTTGATATGCTACTGCACTAGCAGGTTTGGCTCCAGAGGCTGGCTCCATACCAAACCCATTGTTAAAGGAGCATAATAAAAAAAAATTACTTTATCAATTTAAATACAAGTTTGAATGATTAAAATAACTAGCTCTTCTTTTTATATGAGTTACTTATTTTTTTCCCCTCCCAGAACTTTAATTTTCTTCCCCTTTCCCTTTAATCCCAATTTTGAAAGCATTCATTAAGCGCTGTCTAATGAATACAGGCAAGTCTCTGCAAAAGCATCTGAAAGAGATGCCCAACAGGAAGAGGATACAGGAAGTATTGATGCTTGCAGCTAAGACATATACTACAAAAATATACATTTCTGAAGTTTAAGCAATTTTACTTAGTTCGGAGACTCAAATATAAATTTTGTGGCTAAATCAAAATTATCAGATCGTGTTAATAGTGAAGGGTAAGTATCGCTAATAGAGAATAACATATAACCACCTTTCAATAGGGGAAAAATAAAACAAACAAAAATACATGAAACTTATCAGTCTAACCTACCATGCTGTACTTTGTATGGATATGGTAACAATAAGTCAGAATACATATATTATACCAACAATACCAGCACATCGTGCTGTCCTAACACTCAGGTCAGATCTCCAGATTATTTGAATTATACTGGGAATACAATTGAGGGTCTGAATCCTGAAGCTGGTGGTCTGCCACACACTATTGACAAACTATTCTCTTAAGGCTTTCCATTTCCTCAGTTCAACATTAAGCCTGTTAATGAAATCAAGACCTCATCCTCTGAACTAGCTCACGTAAGCCAAAATGTCAGCAGGTCTGACTTTCTATATACATATGTCACCTTTTAAATGTTTAATATGCCCTAAAGTAGTATTTTTGCATTGTGTTTCTTTGATGTAGTAACAGATGTACTGTTTTTGTTGAACTAGGCTTTGTTCTCGCTGTTGCTGTCTCCATAACAAGGCTCTTTGGGCATGGTTAGGAGAACAGGCAGTATTTCTTAGTTGCAAATTTCTAATCAATTTCCCTAGTGGGAGGTATAAGAGGCAACCTCCACCACTGTCTGCTTTCATATTCTCAGTATAAATCTATCCAGTCTCGTGAAATTTTCGTCAGCCCCACCAGAAACAAAACTCTGAATATTTCTAATCTTCAGACATAAACTCAACCGAGAAAAAAAGTATCATGTAATTAAAAATTTTTGAAGTTACATACTGATAAGAGTATATGAGATACAGATACATGCAAAGCTTGCAATCAATTCCAGAAGTTTTTGATGGATGAAGAAAGGTCTCAATCAAAAAAAGATATATAAATTTTTAAATTGACATAACTTTAAGATGTTAGCTTAGTTTAGGCTTATTTGGGAAGATAAAAAAAATGTTTTAAGAAACATAATGAAACATTGAAAGGTTTAATATTAAGGTCCTAATGTTTCTCAGTAACATGGAAAAAATCCTTACCAATCCATTGGTGTGATTACACATGTCCCATAAGGGTATCAGAGCCAAGGTAACGCGGGAACCATCTTCTGTTGGAATTTGGTTTTGTCGTGTCATAACAGAAGAAACTGCCCATCTACAAAACAAAGTTAAAAAATTAAAAGCATATCGAAGGCTCAGTACAACCATTTACGCTAGAAATTTTCATATTTAGTTTTCTTAAACATCACAGGCTAATGACAGTAATAACATTAGCAGGTAACACCACATGCAAAAGCAGCAGCAGGTCCTGGCTTTAAGACACACACGTAACATCATGAATCCCCAAATCAGGCAGCAGTACCAAACCGGGCCCCGCTCCCATGTCTTTTGCCTCCCCATCATTTCCTGCACACAAACCTCTCATCATGCATCCCCAAACTGGGGTCAGCTAATCCTGCGAGCTTCAAAGGGGTTCACAGCTCCTGCTTGGCAGCAGCAGCTCAGCTACGTGCAGACTCTCCTAAGAGCCGGGAGGTGTTTTCCCCCGGCTCCCTAAAGGGCTGACACACTTGAGTGGATTGGAAACTAGTGTCATCGCTTGGCACAGGTAAGATACCTTGGTAAGCATTCCCCTTCAACTGTGGACCTTGGGCTTTGATCAGCATGCCTAAACTGTCTACTTAACAGAATAAGGGAAAAAATATACCCCATTCATCTATTCAGGTAAAAATATGAAACAAGTAAAAGATAGTTTAGGATAGGCATTTGTCAAAACCTTTCCAGGTCAGGTTAAGTAAATGAAATAGCAGCTACCTATTCAAACACTCTGCTGGAAAAGCTCAAAGTTTCAGTATTTTCAAAACATTCCTGAAATTTCAACTTTGTTCTACTTCAGACAAAAATGAATATAAGATGCCATGAAGACAAATTCTTAAAATTTCACTATATTTTTGCTTTAACAATTAACTATGGGGGCGGGGGGCAGGTAGAGAGCAGGACATGGAAAGTAAAAAGACACTCTCAGTGGGTGAGACATTTTTAAATAGTGTTAAAAGATCCCACTATAAGATACTGAAAAGGAAAAGCTTTTTCTTTTATTGGCTAAATACAAATGTGCAGTTCTTAATTTTAGTTCAGTCTGCGCAGTCTTAAGTAGCATGAGTAGAATGGAAACATGGAGTTAGGGATGAGCTTATTACTGCCTTGTTTAGTGTGGAGTTTCACAGCTGTTCATTTAAAGACAATGTGCACACCTGGAATTTCTTACAGTCTTTATATACAGTACCTGGATTCATCTACTTGGTATTCTTTTGAGGACATTTAATAAAAGAATCCCTCCATTGATGTTGAATGAGAACCTTAGCTTTCAGGGAAGAGCATTTGTATTTTGGCATTTCCTCTCAAGTCTGGGGACGTCATGTTTAGGATACCATTAGGGTTGCCATCCCTCCCTGCTTCCTTCCACAGTCCCCGTCAGCTAGGCCCAAAGAGGACATCCTACCTGTGCCTTTCATAGCAGTATCTTTGGAGAAGGGTCAAAGTCGTTTTGTCTCATTTGGTAAATGAGTTCTTAGTTTCCTAAAAGAGAAAAAAAAATGTGTATATATATATATATATATATATATGTATTAATACACAGACAGACCAACCTGTAGTCATCATAAGTGAAAGAATCCTTTAAGGGCAGTTTGCTGGCATTAGGATGGGTCTGGGAAATGCAAGTTTCAGAAAAAGGTGAAAAGAGAAAGAAAACAGAAATCAGAAATCAGTCAGCAGAATTTCATTATTTAGCTGCCTAACAGATCCTAACAAGAGCCAAATGAAGCAGGAGGCGTCCAGCCGCGCTACAGAGGGATCATCGTGCTATTATGCTCTCATACATCACTGTCAACTTAATTTGTTGTGCCCAGCAGCCGCCATAAATCTGTTTCTTCATATTTCAAGACTGGAACCCACAGACACCATACAAAAATAACAAAATTTAAGGTGGACTGAATACAAGAAGGTAAAACAAAACATAATCTTTGGTGCTGTGTGGGGGAAGAAACCAAACAAAAAGCACACATTAGCCTTAACCAACTTTCACAGTTCTCTCTTCTCTGAAATATCAGTAGCATGATACAAATGCAAAAAAAAAAAAAAAAAGTATTCAAAATTGTCACTGCTTCCTCTATACCTGTGAAGGTTTTATTCAAAGAAGTTACACTACACTTCAGAAATAAAGCAGATTAAAATATTTACATAATTTGGAGACAAATATAGGTTAGATAATACCTGCATTAGCCCAACTAAACATACATCACAAAGGTGAATAACTCAATTTTATAAGGATATTCTACATGTCCTTAACAAGCAAAATATTAGTTTTTACAAAGGTTTTAAGAAACAATTCTACCTATGGGTTTTCTGATAAATTAACTTGTTAAAAGTCACAAGAAATACAGGTAGCTTTAAGCCCAAACCAACACGATTTTTCAAGGTCAGAACTTAGCATTTCACAAATGGAAAGATAACAGCATAATTTTTAATCTTCAGTTTCTCATCGGTCAAGTCTCATAGACCAAGTGATAGTGGTTTTTTTTTTTCCCCTAAAAATACAGATGAATTTTTGCACAGTTTTATCTTTGCAACACTGTTAATGCATGAAGCTACATGTAGTGTGCAGTTTTTTACTCTTGATGCATTAGCATCACAAGTGCATGGTAATTTATCATTTCTCACTGTAATGTACTTGCTGGCAATGTGTGCAGGACAGTAGGGGATGGGGTAAAAGTGGCTCAAATCGTAAATCAATTAGAAAACAAAAGCTTGTGCTCAGTGAGCAATTTTAGGCAAATTATATATTACAAAAGACTGCCAATTGGGTGTTAGGTCCCAGGTGTCTGCCCTCCTCCAACCCCTCTAGTTAACCCTTTGAATGGACTTCTGAAGCATGTACCAAGTTAACAATTTGAGCAACTGCTGCCCCTTCCCTCCCTTCTTCAGGAAGGGCTTCACATTTTTCTGTGTGGTTTTCATTCGCACGGATAATCTGGACACTGCATAACAAACTTCCTTGAGTTTAATGTTAACAGCATATTTGACATTTTTTTCTTCATGTAAAACCATTCAATACAAACCTAGAACTGAAAGCCAAAACAATTCATTTCTAGAGACATCATCTCTTGAAATATAGAGATGTATGTGTATATATATAGCAAAATACTTAGTAAAGCAATTCAGAGTTCAGAAATGAGCATAAAATCTTGGCTTCCTACTGGAAATAAGATTAAAAAAAAAAGAGAAAGAAAAGAAACAGATCCCTTCCCATTATTCCTTTATGAGAATGTAATCTCATTTTTTATTGTCAAAATTACTAATCTGATAGAAGTTACTGAAGTAGCTTTCTGCAATAAACTAAAGAAAGTCCACATGGGTAGTGAAACATGCAAGCCAATTGGTTTTGCTTTAAATATGTTAAAAATTTGTGTGTTGCATTTCCATTAACTGTGAAAAGTGGGAACCATGTTCCGCACCTGCAGTTTTTAAAGAGTATGAACAGAGAAGCTACATTCTGTTAGAAACGCGTTCCTTCAAGGTGCCTTCCATTTCCTGGTAGCCCATGCACTTAATTTGCCTCTCGCTTAGCTTTGCTGCTTACAAAACCGCATTTCCCAGCCCATTTCATGTTTGTATTTAAAGATATTGTTTTAGTAAAACTGCACAGATATTTTCCACAACTCTGCTGCTGAGGCCTGTTTCGGCTTCCCTCGCTTCCCGTTCCCGGGATTCACTGCTCATCAGTGTGGCGCTAATGCCACCTTCTGGTCCTCATGTGGAAAAGTCACTGAAATCCCTCACGCAACTTCCAAATATCCACTTGGAAATGCAGGAGAAACCTCTGAAAAGCCAAACAATCCGACACTTTCAAAAAGTCTTTTCCTTCTCCCCCTGCTTAGAAAAGCAAGTTTTGGAACACAAAATAAAGAAAATGAAGCAGCCTTCAGATGTTATTCCAGCATTCTGAAATCCCAATTTTTGATACTTTATCTTTAGTGTAGATGGATTGTCCTGTAGTTTAAACCGAGGGTCCTAGCAAGTTTATCACAAGACCAAGGCCTCAAGTATACAAATAGATACCTCTGTCCTTCTCTGTCCTTCCTCTCTCCTTCCTCTTCCCAAACAAGAGATTTTGAGAGAACTAATTATTTTGCAAAGAGCAGTAATTACCATGGTTCTAATGCACTGAAAGGCATTACAGAGAACACAAAGGGCTCAGAAATGCAAAAGACAGTGACTGTCACTTTGAAAGCTCTTAGACCCAACACACTACATGGGCACAGTCTCCCTCACAGCCTACACAGGCAGCACCAGCCGACAGGCTCAATCCTACCTTGGAGCAAATACCTAAAGAAAGGAAGAAACTACACACATGCTGCCATGATCCTCGCAGAGAGGAGATCGGCATTAAACGTAACTGCATGGGGTTTGTGCTCAGGACATCACACACCTGCAGACTGCAATGACACTAATTGTTCATGTGACATAAGCTGTCCCTCTAATTAGTCCTGACTTGAAGGTGCAACCCATGTGCAAAGACTCTCCATTCTGCTAAGTGCTTGGTTCTCCCTTCCTCATTTGCAAACCTGTGAAATATAGGGTTTATCATATATTGACAGAGTCCAGAAAAAAAACACATATAAAAACACTACTAAATCAAAATAAAGGACAAAATCTATGGTCTTGTAATAAATGACACAAGGTAGAATAAAACTGCAGTCTATGAAATTACCATATTTATAACATTCCATGATACAATATTCTAGTAGCTATTTTAAAGTTAAGATACTCTAATGTCAGCATATTTGATCAGGTTAGATTTGACTTGAAATATTTAAGTGTGTAACTTAAAAACCCTATAGATTACAAGAATCTGAAGACACACAAAAAAGAACAATATTCTGATTAAAAAATTGATTTAGGATGCAGCTTCTCTTTATAGTCCCTTGGTAAAAATGAAATCTCCCTAACAAACACTTAATAAAACCTGTCAATATATCTAGAAAGAAAAATGACACAAATGCATTAAGTATTAAATACCCTTGAAAAAAGTCACATATTCCATGAATTTTTGATGTACTATCTTGACATTAATGTAAAACCTTGATATTTATAATTGACAGATATTTAATAAAGTATAGAAGATGACTGCAGCATGGCATGCAAATTGCTCAGGCTGATCAAAAAAGATACAGACGTATTTAAACTAAACAAACATTTAATATGTAAAAAAATCGGATCTAGCTTTTATAGGTTCACACAGCTAGGTCTCTACAGATCAGCTATGAAATGTGACATTATCCAATACAGGAACCCTAATTGTAACTTACCATGTCTGTATGAAGCAGTTTCAGAAAGTTGGGAGGGGAAGCTTTAAATAAAAAATGGGAACATGAAAATGCGAATATATTCATTTGGATGCAGGTCCTGACATCCTACTGAAAGAGTTATTATAAAGAACAAATATCGTCTATTTAGTTACCCTTTCTGTGAAAATATTGTCAGAGCTGGCAATCAGGGTGATGACCACGGCAAAAACAAATAGTGGCGTACTGAAGTGCATTTTCGTCTGCCATACAAAAAACAAAACAAAACAAAAACAAAAAATAAAAACATCAAAAAAGGAAGAAAAAAATCCCCAAAACGTTTCTTCCCTTTTAGCGTTCCAAGCCTTGAGACATTTGGAGGATATCTCAAAATAACTAGAAATATTAAAAAGTAGCAGTGATTGCTGCCAGATTGTCTGTAGCCACTGTGGAAAGAGACAGACTGTTATTCTAGTCGCCTAAAACACTCTCATACTAGAAGCCAGTTATGCAGTATGGCAGCCATAGATGACTGGGGTGGGGGGGGAGAGAGGGAAAGGGAGGAGGGAGACAAGAAAAAGATTTTTAAACCCTTTTCTCCTTTTGGGAAGTCCTAATATTCACAGATTCATTTCCCATGAGAAACAACTCCCAGTGACCCCAGTGGGACTTTGCACTTTCTATTTCTTCACCGTATTTTGGGATGGACGTCACAAGATTAATCTCATTTGCAAATCTCGAATCTTATAACTAAATGTGCCCACATAGGAGGGCGCTTGTAGTATTTGGACAGCATGAGGTGCCACTATAGACAGGGTGGGGGGTGCCCTTTTCACCGAGGAGCCGCCACAGCCCTCACTTCTGCTGTCCCCCCTGCTAGGGCAGCAGCAGCCCCCTGCGAGGGAGGCACCAACCCCTTACCCTGTTTGAGCACAAATTGCCAGGGCTCCTTTATCAGGGCTCCTCATCTCAACAGAAGAATTTCCATCGAAAGGAGCTTGGAATTTACTTGTTTACCAAGGGATGCACAGGAGAATTCTGATTACAGTAGCATGCTACAAAATTTGAGTGAAGAGTTAGAGTTTACTGAATACCAAATTTGTGTTCCTATCTATCTATGATGCTGCTATGCTTGTAAAGCATAAATACATTCTGCCGTGAAGTTATATTGGCCAGTCTATTCCTTGGTATCATTCGTCCTTGTATCCCCTAAGTACTCCCTGAACTCTTAAAAAAAAAAAAAAGGGATAACTAAATTTGATCAAATAATTGCTTTTTTTAGTGCAATACCTTTATGCTGAAATAAACCAAGTCAGCTACTACTCCATTGCTGTACTTAACTGGAGAAACAACAAAAAAAAAC